ATTAATATAGTCATTGCAAGGGCCGGCCTAATAGCATAGATCTTAGCTTTTAATTTTTTTTAACTTCCCGTAGGGCAAGTTACAGTAATCGCAAAAAAATCGAAAATGAAAATTTTTATATATCTTTACGTTTCAGAGGTTTCTGAATATTTTGGCATACCTTAGAAAAAATGGATGTATGTGTGTGTGTGTGTGTGCGTGTGTGTATGTATGTGCGGATACAAATTTTCGTCGACGATTTCGGGAACACGGATCAACCGATTTGAATAATTCAAAAAACATTCGATTTGTATTGATAAGGAGACGTGCTGATTAGTTTTTGGCGAAGGCAGGTCTAGCCGTTCCGAAGATACGGGGCAAAAAGTGCCGAAAACGGTAACTCAGCTTTTAAGAGAACGGAGCATTCGATTTTGATAATTCAAAAAACATTTTACGTGTATTGACAAGATAAACTGATTAAATTTTTGGGAAGACAGGTCTAGCTGTTATGAACTCTCCATAAAAATAAGTTTAAAAAAAATGTCATTTGGCGGTGAAAAATGTATATTGAACATATCCACCTCAAATTATCATATATTTTATAGAGATTTTAATAGTGTGTACATATTTTGTGTAAATTTTTTTGGATTCCGTACCAAGATTTTTAATTACGGTACAGGAAGTTTCAGCAATTTGCCTTAAGGCACGATGCCATGCACCCCACTAGTTTTTATTCCGCATTAAAATCAAATTAGAATAAAGAGCATTGATTCCAAAATTCAAACATATGTTATGGGTGGATCACTAGTTTTTTTATATTGAATTTTATTGCCATGAGCTTTAAATATACTAGCAACTTGCGGCTATAAAAACTTTGCTAAGAACTGTTTGAATATAAAGTATCATTAAATAGCACAATATAAATCTATTTTTCATTTATGCAGAATTTATGCTTTAATGAATAACTGAGAATATACAGCAACTTGCCAATAGGCAAACCTCAGACTACATTTAGCATGTGGCATATAAATAATCAGTGCTCGGAAAGCTGAATATGAATACAGTATGTTTTTAATTATATTTTATGATAAAAATTAAATATTTAATAGTATTTATGGTAAATACTAGTAAATTTTATATAAATATATATATATATATATATATAAATTACCAATCTGTATTTCTTATTAAATTTGCAAATAAAGAAGTTTACTATATAATTTGTATCAAGTGTATTATAAAAGAATATCAGGATTGATGGGAGAATTCATAGTGATAGAAAGTTTTTTTATTTATCATTCAGAAAGTGATAGAAAATTTATGAATGAAGTTTGAATTTAACTTAAAGTCCACTTAGAAAAAAAGTATTTATTCCTTAAGAGTATTTATAGATATTGAATTATTAAATGAGTGTTGTGCAATTCAAAAAATAAAACATAAATCCCCTCATAAAATAATGATACTTTTTATAATAAATGTATTTTTTAGAGATTACACATTAATTTAATATCATCAAGGTGATACAGAAGTATTTGGTTATATTTTATTGAAAACTAATTTGAAACTAACTTATTTTTAATAATTATTGTAATATATGTAATAGGAAGGAATTTGATAGGCCAGTTTTTGAATTTTTTAGAGAAAACTTTAATGACAAGTAGTAAATGAATGCTTCAGCTTATATTTGTCTGCATATAAGCAAGATTCAAGTTAATTAGAATCAGGGCATTCATATAAATCGTATCAAAGAATTCAAATATAAGTGACCACCAACAAAATGAATGTACATATAATAATATGTTCCTATTAATAGAATCTTTCTTTGTCATTCAAAATGTAGAAGATAATTTAACTTACAATCATGCTACGTAAATAATTAGTAAATAAATTTACCTAGGCACTGTAGGCGGTGAGTATCTACCATCAACCTCATCACTCTCCGATTCCTTCTGTTCACCATGAATAACAGCAATGCCCAAACGCAAACGTTCAGCATATGATGTAGCTTTTTTAGCAGAACCAGGATTGCGGGCTACTATAACTGAATTTCTATAATCTGGAATCTAAAGAACAATACACAAATAAATAAATAAATAAATAAATAAATAAATATATATATATATATATATATATATATATATATATATTGTGTAAACTAAATGTAAACTAAATTTATGTAATTAATACTTACACATTCTTGGATGTACTGAAGTAAGAACGGTGATGCCCTTAAATTATCAACAGGACAATCAAAGAATCCTTGTATTTCTTTCTGGTGTAAATCCATTGTGATGATATGGCTAAGACCTGATTTACACATCATCTAAGAATAAAGAAATAATAAATAAATATTGATAATGTGCAGATCACAATGTGTTTTTTATTACCTTAGCTAGTAGTTTACTGACAATGCAACCACGTTTACGCATTTTGCACTGTTTACTGTAAGGCAAATAAGGAATAACACCAACAATCGATTTTGCAGATGACGTTTTGCAAGCATAGGCCATGATCAAAAGTTCCATAATGTTATTATTCACATCTCTGTGAAAGAAATATTAAAAATATAATACTAATGAATTTGCAATGAGTAAGGAAGGTTAGGTAAATACATACTTTGTTCCTGTTTGTATAATATAAATATCTTTTCCACGAACAGAATCACCAATTTCAACCATGGTTTCACGGTTTGTTTTGTGGTAAACTGAGCAGCCCCCATTTTTAACACCCAGACGCCTAAAGTAATAAAAGACTTTATATACCTAGTATTTTTTTTACAAATTATTTGTAAATATATTACTATTGCTTACTTGGCAACTAAGTTAGCTAATTCAGGATGTGAATTGCCCCCGATAATCATGATATCGGAGGTTGCAGGAGCCCCCATCATCGTGAAGAACTTTTATTTATATACACTAAAAACAAATAAAACAAGAGTATGAATATACATATAAAAATATGCTTTACCAAAGCACAGCATGCATTATAACATCAAGAATTTTTATGTAAACAAATTGATAAACTATGTTCCCTTAATGTCATAACCCAAGAGCAATTTTTATCTTTAGAGATAAGAAAAAATAATATTGATAACAATATACTTGGCATGGCCTAATGTAAACTCAAGATATGATGAAGATTTACCTTTGATTGAAATTGTGAATTTGTTACTAATCAATAATAATATGTTGCACACGATTTTTTGAGCATAAATCAATATTTAAACACTGTTTTTTATTAAATAAACATAATTTCATATTTGGTTTATGAGATTCGTGTTAACATATGACATTTGCGCAATTGTAAAGGAAAACAATTGTACCAACTTTTTTTTAAATTGGGCGCCGAATTTGAAAAAGAAATTATAATAAAAGTAATAAATAATAATAAAAGTGATAAACAAGTAGATGGAAATTGAAAACAGAATTATGTACGTTATAAATATTTGTATTAGCTTGTATTTACATTTATTTGATGAGTCAGCAAAATTCAAACATTCTTTGTGGGAGGTCTGAGCAAAAACATAAAGAATAAACTATAAATTAGTTATCATCTAATGAATAATAAATATGTCAATACTTAAATACTTATAAATTGTATTATTATAAATAAAAAGTCCAAATTTACGTATTTTGTATAAATTTAAATTAATAAAATGTTTCACTGTTAGTGTGTCATTTTTAATACAAGTATAGATTAAATTTATTGTTTGTACACTTAAGTGTGTCAAAATATTGAAAATAAAGTTTTAAAGTCTAAATAAAATCAAAAGTCATAAATTTTTAGCATTTATTATTAAATCAGCTGATATTTATAAAGTTTTATTTTAAATTTGAATTTTTCACCAGTACTGCCATCTGTGTGTTACTTATGGCATTACCTCAGCTGTCAAAATTAAATTAAACAAGTTGTGAAAGTTGTATTTAAATAATTAAATATATAAGTGTATAATCAAAAATAACAAAATATTATATTTAAACCTTTGAATAAGCAGTATTTATTATTAACTTTACTTAATTTATTCGAATTTTAATTATTATTTATTAGTGTTGCCCTATGTGTATTATTTACAACATTACCCCAGCTGTCAAAATTAAATGCCAAAAGCATTGCACAATTATTTGTGCAGACGTAAACAAATATGTGATTTAAATCATTTAATTTTACTCATAACATTTGCGTTTTAACACATTTTAATTTACAATTTTAATTTTTATAAATCCGTGTTGTGGCTATCTGTTAAAAATCCATATTGAAACTTTTGGGGCTTGTCACAAATAATGGACGAGAATATATATGGAATTACTGCCAACAATATTAAATACGAAAACGATGACTATTTAAATGTAAGCAACCTAAATAAATCCATGATTAATTCATTTATTTTTATCTAAAACATTTTCTTTGTGAAGTGTGCTTGAAAAAAGCTCCAAAATATTTTCCCAAGACAAGCAGTTGTAAGCAAATGGTCCATGGAGAGTGAATGTTCTATTCAACTTGAATTAAACTCCATGGGCGACACTGATGCAATGTTATCGTTTAACAACTTTTATGAACATGAGATATCTGAAGTATGTATTACAGAATTACTCAGATACAAAATGTTCCGCTTGCGAGAGAAAGGTAAATGCAAACTTTATTAACTTTATTGCTCTTCACAGGGAGGCCCTGAACAAGAGTGTCCGGATTTGGATTTTGTTTACGATGATACAGATACACATGCAAATGAAATATCAGAGTTGTATAGTTATACAGAGCAGCCTGAGCTGCAGCTCAACGTCAAGGTAATAATAGATATACATCTACAATTTAATTAAATATATATATATATATATATATATATATATATGTGTACTATTTTTTGTAGGCGTTTGAAGATCAAATGGAGCAATATAAACTACCACCAAGTTGGCAAAAGTTGACAGAGGAACAACAGAAATCGATAATTATGAAATTAATTGACCAATTAGAAATGTCTAAGAAACAATTACGTATGAAGGCTGCCAGATGTGTTTTGTATCTTGCACAGGTAAAAAAATTAATAAATTATATATATATATATATATATATATATATATACTAGCTAACCCGGCAAATGTTGTTTTGCCATAAAAAATATGCCTAAATTGATAAAAAAATAATAAAAGTGCCAAAAAATCAAATATTTAATAGATTTGGACTCTGATTCTTCGGCAAATAATTAAAAACTTGTTATAATTTTCAAAATTAGTTGACATATCATACTTCAAAAATTAATTCATTCGCATCATAGTTTTTTGTTTATTATACTTTTGCCCTGTCATATATGTCAATAAAATTTTCTTTCAAATATTATTTATTTGTTGATACATTAATATTTATTTTAAGTCATCAAAGAATAATTATATTATTGTTAAATTCATAAGTTTGGCTAAATCAACACAGGAATATTGTGGAAATAAATATTTTTTTACATAAAGATCTGATTTTTGGCATTTGCATTTTATTTCAAATTAATTATAACTGTCAAAATATTTTCTTTTCGGTCAAAATTTAATATAATATGATATAATATTTAGTTTGTCTAGTTTGTTTTCGTCAGATTCCAATGATACCCTCAGATTGTACTATTTCTTAAGAGGTTACAATTTCCTGTAAGATTAGCATTTGCGATGACAATCAAAATATATCTTAACTGATATATTAATAATAATATTATATTTTAATTACACAAATTTCTTTACACTCCGATAAATAATTCCAACGCATCATAGTGTTTTGTTTATTTTAATTTTGTTTATGTCAATTTTTTTTTAATTAAAGAATAAATTAAATTTTAGTCTAAATCAACGCAGTATCTTTATCTAAATATACAATTTTTTATATAAATATTTGATTTTTTACATTTGCATTTAATTGAAAAATAGTGAATGTTAATTTCATATATGCAATATGCACTAAATTTATAAATGTCAAAATATTTTCTTCTTGGTCCAAAATTAATATAATATGATAATATTTATTTTACAATAATGTTTTGTATATATAATTTGCTTGGCAATATTGCCTATAACATAACTTGGAATTTATTTGCTTCTTATCGAAGTAAGTCATTAAACATTTTTTTGTGAAATGTCAAAATTTTGTTTATGATTAATTTTAAATTCAATATGCCGCTTTTTTATTGTGATCTCTGATCTATAATGTTTTGATGAAGTTTTGGTTTCCGAAATAATTTGGTAAGCTAATCAATTAAATCTAAATCGTAAAATTATATAATTATTTTCATAAATACTGACAAATGACATTTAATTTTTTTTACATGTTCAACATTTATTCAAATTTTTAAGCATTGATTTTTAATTGGATTTAAAACTATAAACAGTGATTTTGAATATAGCATTTCATCAAATTTGGATTTAAATGTTGGATATTTCTATATATGTACATGTTTTTGAATTTTATTTTTTGAACTGTCAATTTTTTTTTTTTCAAAAATCATAAATCTTTTTTTCTCGAATTTTCCATAAATTTTGGCATTTGTCATTTTAGTGTTTTGTTTTTTTTTTTGGTCATTTTCTGTCAAAATTTTTAGAAATTTATAAAAATTATATATTTATGTTTCAAATTTACTTTTCAAAATTTTCTATAACCTAAGTTGGATATATAAGCACACGATGAGCCATTAAAATTTAAAATCGGTCCAGTAGTTTGGGCGTCCATCGCGAACCAACATCGTGACACGAGATTTATATATATAGATATATATATATATATATATATATATGTGTATATTTATATACATATTTAATAATTTATTACTATTTTTAGGGTTGTTGGGCTGAAATACAATCAGACAAAGAGCAACAGCATTGGTGTCGTCACAACGTAATGCTTTTATATAAACTAGGTGTTTTTAATGCCTTTGTGGAACTACTTAATTTGGAAATTGAGTACGTTATTATATTTTATATACTGTTAATATATATATATATATATATATATATATACATACATACATATATATACATATATTATATATATATATATATATATATATATATATATATATGTATATATATATATTATTACTATATTATTTATTTCTAGCAATGCTTCAAAAGTTACTGCTCGCAAATTGGCTGTATCTTTAGCTGATTCTACAGATTTACGTGTTATTTTGTCTGTAATGTACATAATTACAGAAGTTATGAGGAATGAAAGTAGACAACCGGATAGTGAGTTCAAAGAAATCACCGATAGTTTTAAAAATGAATTGAGTAAGTAGTTTTATACTTTATTTTTATATTGTTAACACTCTATGAGTGGTAATACTTAAATCTGCATTTAAAATACAAATTATTCAAAATTTTGATATCCAAGTATATAAAGGGTCCGCCATATAACTTATATAACTTTTTACCAATAAAGGTAGCAATATTAGAATTTTTTGACAGCCATTTAAAAGTTAGACAGCTATTTCAATGAAATTATTTTCGATTATTAACCAGAAGGATTGCACTTTCAAATAGAAAAGATTTAGATTGAGAAAATATTCAGTAGCTTATATATAGCATTTTCAAAAAAAAAAAGTTATCTGACGGACCCTATACAATAGATTTTACTAGATTTTTGTAAATGTTATCTAGTTTTTACTAATGGCAACAAATTATGATATCTATATAATGCAAATTATCAAAATACTAAAGTCTGCATTTCAACTACGGATTATTCAAAATTTTAATATCCAAGTGTATACAACAGTTTTCACTAGATTTTAGTAAATTTTATCTAGTTTTCACTAATGTAAACAAATTATAATGCCCCACTGGAAATTTAAAAATTATTTGAAGAAAACTAAAAAAAATCCTGAAATCATGTAATGCAAATTATCCAAATATGAAAATCTGCATTTCAACTACGGTTTATTCAAAATTTCAATATCCAAGTGTATAAAATAGTTTTTACTAGATTTTTGTAAATCTAATTTAGTTTTTACTAATGTAAACAAATTATAATGTCTGAAATGAAATTTAAAAGTTATTTGAAGAAATGTAAAAAAATGTCCTGAATCCATATAATGCAAATTATCAAAATACTAAAGTCCACATTTCAAATATGGTTTATTCAAAATTTCAATACCCAAGTGTATATAACAGTTTTTACAGGATTTTAGTGAATTTTATGTAGTTTTTACTAATGCAAACAAATTATAATGCCCCAGAGGAAAATTAAAAGTTATTTGCAAAAAAGTAAAAAAAAAAATGTCCTAAATCCATATAATGCAAATTATCAAAATGCTAAGTCTGCATTTCAACTACAAATTAATGAAAATTTTGGTATCTAAGTGTGTACAACAGTTTTTACAGGATTTTAGTAAATTTTATCTAGTTTTTACTAATGTAAACAAATTATAATGTCCGAAATGAAATTTAAAAGTTATTTGAAGAAATGTAAAAAAATGTCCTTTAATAATTATCGAAACGGGTATTTTTACCCGTCACCTTTATAGAGTATTAATAATCAGTTTTTAATTTATTTGTATTTTTTGTTTTTTTTATTAAAGATACATACAATGGAGAGGAATCATTGGTGGTCAAACTTTTGGGTATGGTTACAAGGTTTTGCAGTGGCGTCGCACCACATTTTCCAATGAAAAAAGTTATATTACTTTTGTGGAAAGTAATTCTAGTGACACTTGGTGGGATTGACACGTTGAGAGAACTAAAAAGTATGTACAGATAAAATAAAATTTTAAGTAAAATTTAAGCTTTTTTATGAAGTCAAAAAACATCTGATCTGAAACTAAGTCAATAAATTAACTGAAAGAGGGATTAAAAATTATTAAGTTTCTAAAATGACTACAAAATAGGGGTTTGTGGTAGGAAGATGGAAATTTAGGGCTATATGTTTCTTTAAAAAAAATTTTTTTCAAATATTAGGGTGGGTCAACTTTTAGAGATATGAAAAGATTCTTTTTTTATAGATATATATCGCGAACGGGCTGGTTTATCAAATAATTCAGAAGATACCATAGAAGTAACGCGAAACATGAGGGCTTGTTCACCACCAACAAGTGCAGCTGATTTAATTGAAGCACAAAATCCTAAAAGAAACAGCAGGCCATTCAGACGGGTACAATTTACACGACAAAACCTCCAACACCATTCTATATTTATACATGTATCTATATCCTCTTCAGAGTTTGATTAAACAAAGTTCCCTCGACGAGCAACAAGATCCAACCTTACTAGGACTAGACGTAGATTGTCCAGGTGGCCCTGAACCAGATGACGAATTGGGAGAATTTGGTCGCACTCTGGATGCAGAACAAGGAAACGTCGGATCTAATGACCAGGTTTTCACAGGCGCTGATGGTGAGATTCAGAACGACAGGGACACTACGATGGTTGATGAAAAGGCTCCTGGACCTGCTGGGCAGCAGCCTAGTCTCGATAGGCCTGGGACACCTGTACCAGCACCGAAAGGTAAAAGAACTACTAGGTCGACTAGTGTATTGATACTTATGATAATCTATTATTCTAGGTTTACCGTGGATGCCTAAGGTGCGTCAAAAAGACGTGGAGACTTTCCTGGACGCATCCAGAATGAAATTCATCGGTTACACTTTGCACAACGACCAAGAAAGTACTGCAGGTCTACCACAACCTATACATGAAGGCATCAGAACACTAAAACGGGTAAATACAATAGCAAAATCACATGTTTTTTATAGATCTTTACGTTTCAGAGGTTTCTGAACATTTTGGCATACCTCAGAAAAAATGGATGTGTGTGTATGTGTTTTGTATGTCCGCATTTTTTCGTCCACGTTTTCGGGCGCACGGATCAACCGATTTAAATGATTCATTTACCATTCGATTCCTATTGATAGGGAGATGTGCTGATTAGTTTTTGGTAAAGGCAGGTCCAGCCGTTTCGGAGATACGGAGCAAAGAGTGCACTAAATACAAATCGAGTTTTTGAGAGAACGGAGTATCGTATTTGAATGATTGCTTAAAACGTTTTGAAAGAAAAAGGGACTCTACTGACGAGCAAATTGAAAATATTGTAAGAAAAAGAAACTCTATTGACAAGCATAATTAAAATATTAGCAAAAAGGACTCTACTGACGAGCAAATAAAAATACAAAGAGGAAAAAGGGACTCTACTGACGAGCAAATGAAAATATTAGGACAAAAGGGACTCTACTGACAAGCAAATGAAAATATTAGGAGAAAGGGACTCTACTGACGAGCAAATGAAAATATTAGGAAAAAGGGACTCTACTGACGATCAAATTAAAATATTAGGAAAAAAGGGACTATACTGACGATCAAATTAAAATATTAAGACAAAAGGGGCTCTATTGACGAGCAAATGAAAATTGTAAGAAAAAGGGAGTCTACTGACGAGCAAATAAAAATACAAAGAGGAAAAAGGGACTCTACTGACGAGCAAATAAAAATACAAAGAGGAAAAAGGTACTCTACTGACGAGCAAATGAATATTGTAAGAAAAATGGACTCTACTAACGAGCAAATAAAAATACAAAGAGAAAAAAGGGACTTTACTGACGATCAAATTAAAATATTAGGACAAAAGGGACTCTACTGGCGAGCAAATGAAAATTTGTATGAAAAGGGGACTCTACTGACGATCGAAAGAAAATATTAGGACAAAAGGGACTCTACTGACGAGCAAATAAAAATACAAAGAGGAAAAAGGGACTCTACTGACGATCAAATTAAAATATTAGGACAAAAGAGACTCTACTGACGAGCAACCTTAAGATTTGTAAAGTGACAAAGGAGTTTTAAGAAACTTTAAGAGAAAACAAACTCTACTGACTAAAGAATGAAATTTGGACCCGAGAAAATTTGGCAAAGGCAGGTTCCGCCATTTCGAAGATACAGAGCTAAATGTGCAAAAATGGCAGTTTTTGAGTGAACTAAAGCGTCCGATTTAAATGATCTAAAAAACTTTGTGCTTGTATTGACAAAACAATTGCTTTTGAGGATAAAAAATTATTACATCTTTTTTAATTTTTCATAAAATATTTTTGTAATTTTGAATTGAAAATTCAAAAAATTACCCAGGCTGAGCACAGTCTAAGCGCCACTCTGGTACAAATGTTTAACCGAGTGCGTTTAGACTGTTTAAGTACTAGAGTACTTTTGCAATTTTGTGAAAACTATTGAAAAATGTGAAAATGCCGCCAAGCTAAGCACAGTACAAGTGAAAATGTCGCACAGAATTGTTTGAAAATGCGTTTAGACCGGAGCACTTTTTCAATTATGTGTAAATTTGGCAACTATTTTTTTTTTTGAAATTGAATTCGAAATGAAATGACGATTGTTAATGTTCTAGAGATAAATTGATTTATGATTTATGATTTACATTTGATTTGCTCACTCAGAAATAACAAACAAGATAGCAAAAATAATTAACCTTACAGTATTTATAATACCACGTTTAAAATTTCTCGAATATTTCATTACGGTACGGGGAAGTTCTAGCAATTTGCCTTAAGGCACGATGCCATACACCACTAGTTACAACTACTTCTATTTCTCCCAGCATATGTACGTCAGCTTAGCAGAGATCCAAATAAAGCGTGAGGAAGAGATGGCAAGAAATCCACTGTCTTCCAGTGAAGGAGAAGTTCCAGCAACTCCAACAGAATTATTGTACCAGGCCATACTTCCAAATTTACCCCAATATATGATAGCACTGCTCAAAATACTATTAGCAGCTGCTCCTACCAGCAAAGCAAAAACAGAATCGATCAACATCATGGCTGATGTGCTACCAGAAGAAATGCCGTAAGATAAAGGATACATAAATACTAATTTAAATTCAAATTATTATATTAATTTATTTTTATGTCTATTTCAGAATGACTGTTCTGCAATCAATGATTTTAGGAATAGATGTCAATCGACACAAAGAAATTATTGTTAAAGCTGTATCGGCTATATTATTATTTACTTTTGAAACATTCAAAATTGAATCACATATATCAGTTTGAGTTCATGTCACAGCATTTAGTGTTCGCGAATTGTATACCGCTAGTTCTCAAGTTTTTTAATCAGAATATAATGGCTTATGTTGGGGCAAAGAATGTGTAAGTAGAAAAATTATACATTTGTATATAATATATATATATATATATATATATATATATATATATATAAAATTCTTCTGTAATGGCGTATGAAAGGTTAATCCTCCTATTCGGATTTTCATAAATCTTCCTGAAGTTTGTTAAACGAATTTTCTAGGATTTTTTGATTCATAGAAGTATAGTTAGATTGTAGAAATAAATGAAAAAAATTACAAAAAAACCGCTTGATTTTAACATTGAAAATATTTGAGGCATTGTTTGACATTAAAAATAAATGAATCATTTGCCAAACATTTCTATTCGCTTTTACGCCAAGACAATATTAGAATGTGATATATTTATGATTATGAATAAGAAACATATGTCTACATTATTATTGCCGAAAAGCAGCTGAGATGTGCCAAAAATTAAAATAATATAATAAAATACAGTCAGCATGCGTCTGACAGTGATTGCACATCAAACTTAGCCTATAATTCAATTTGACTTATTTTTTAACTTATTGTATTTCATTGTGTCAAAAATTCATATGTTGGCATTGGATACGGAATATTTACTCAAGTCAATGGAGTGTTTTGGGTCTGAATATTTTTATTGTGCTCCAATTTGCATGAAATTTTGGAATTTAGTTCATCTTACTCTCAAGTTTAAAAGTGAAAATAATTTAGACTCCTTTGTCACTTCTCGGGGGTATGACATCTCTTTTCAGTGGTGCAAATGTCGATAAAAGAACTAATTAAAGGAAAAAATTGTTTAATTATGTTTCCCAAAAAAGCGATCACTTTTCAAGTTACTGGCTACTAAAAATTTGTTTCTTTTTAGCGTTTTTCATCGCTTTTTTGCAAATATTTCTAAAAATATACATTTTAACGAAAATCATGTAATGAACAAAATTATATCAATTAAAATTTTAATAAATCGGTGTTTTATAAAGTGTTCTAGGAACAATATTAGGCTAGATATGAAAATGGGGTTTTATAGTGCTCAAAATAAGTTTTAATGAGTACTTCTGTGTGTAAAATGAGTGAGCTACCATGCCAATAAAAAAGATGCATATAACAGTTTATGAGTGCCATTTCTACCAAAATTAAAAATAATCGTATTCCATCTAGAATTAACATGGTTTAAGAGATCTTGATGGGTTCTAGAAATTACCACAACTTCAGTACAAACGATTTTCATGAAAACTCATGATTTCATGATGAAAAATCTATTTAAAAAAAACATCCAATTTATCATTATTATATCTCTCAAAGAATACGTATAAAAGTATATATATGAAAATTCAAGGTCTTTTTCTGACTAATTATTGCTTTTTATTATTTTTCTATTACACAAATATTGATAGAGTTATGATTGTTTAAAGAGTGCGCGGCTGTCCGACCAGAATGTCTTTCGAGCCCTTTAACCCTTCGCCGTTTCAAAATAAGAGAAGTTACTGTAAAATTTATGATAGAGAAAGTTGTAGCTCATTTAATTACCTTTAAAATAGTGTATTACAAGTTCTGATAAAATCAGAATTAAAAGAGTTATAATCCAATTAATGCGGGGGGTGGGTGACGGAGTGCAAATTGTTTTCACTTCTGAACTTAAGATTAAGATTAGCGTATTTCTAAAATATCAAGCAAATTGGAGCACAGTAAAAAAACTCGCAGGGCACACACTTTTTCCTTTCCATTTAATGCAATAATTTTGTTGAATAGAGCACATGTGAACAGGTTTTGACAAATTAATTCACTTCAAATATGAACTTAAGTGATAATGTATATTGAATTATTAGTGAGAAAAATGTAATTTAGATATTAAAATTACTAAAAGCCACTTAAAATATGGTACGAAATTATAAAAATTATAGGCAATATTATTGAAACCGGGAATGCTATATATTAATTCTTTCTGAATATGTTATACCTTTTAAAAGACTGCAATTTTCAACACGTGTATCTTGACAATATGACAATAAATACATCACAAAGGCAGACGATGATTTTTCGTCTGATAAATTTAGAAAATCAATATTTTAGTCATGAATAAACAAAAAATCATTCATTTATACATCCACATCTACAGGTATGACTGAAATTATTGGATAACCCTTGGCAATAATATAAATTGAGCTATTGGAAATAAATTTGTTCTATAAATTGCAGTGTATAATTTTTAATGTACAATTTTACTGAACATATTTTAATATTTGTTAAAGGGATAATTAAAGTGTTAACTGTGGGAATTGAAAATTAGAACATATTGGTAATTTTCGCAAAGAAAGCTAGTATCTGTTCGCTTATTAATACTTATTTTGTCTAAGAAAATAAAAGCCGATTCCGCAAAGCGTCTTTGTTTCTAGGTTTTGATCTTATAGACGGTCTTATATATATTATTTTGTTTTTAGAATTCCCATAATGGATTTTCCAACGAGCGTTATTGGAGAGCAGCCAGAATTGACGACTGATATTTTGGAAATTGGAATGTTACACATCACAGCACAGTATTCATGGAGGAATTTATTTTCTTGTATAAATCTTTTAAGGATCTTGAATAAGTTGACTAAATGGAAACATTCACGCATAATGGTAAGTGATAATTGAAATATATATTTATATATATAAGAAAATAATATAAATGTACATTAATCACGTGATCGATCTTTTTGGGATTTTCCTCCCCCTTGGTGATATTCAAAATTACCCCTCCTCCACCACCAAACATCACATGTATTTTTTTATTTTTTTAAAAATTCAGGTGAAAATGGACACCCCTAACGAGTCCTTTACTTTACAGATGCTGGTGGTTTTCAAATCAGCTCCGATACTAAAACGTACATTGAAAGTTCAACACGCGATGATGCAATTGTATGTATTGAAATTGTTGAAAATGCAAACGAAATATTTAGGACGCCAATGGAGAAAATCGAATATGAAAACTATAAGTGCTATTTATTCTAAGGTCAGGCACAGATTGAATGATGATTGGGCCTTTGGAAATGGTAAGAGTTATATATATATATATATATATATATATATTATATATATATATAATTTTATGATATGAGTGGAACGAATATTAATTGTTTAATATGAACAAAACAGCACTCAGATTTGTTTAACACAACTTTATCCACCTTTTCATTCATTTCACCTTCATTTAATTTTTGTATACCAAAAATTAAATGAAATTTAAATAAATTATTAAAGAATATGTAGTATATAAGTAACTGTTTTTGAAATTACACTGAAGATGAGACACACCATGGTCTCGAAACGTCTGTAATCATAAAATAAAGTTGTGTTAAACAAATCTGAGTGCTGTTTTGTTCATATTAAACAATTAATATATATATATATATATATATATATATATATATATATATATATATATTACAAATGTATTCTGAGTGGATAATAGATATTAATTTGGAAATATGAACAAACAACACTCTTTTTGCACTAATTTATTAAATAATAATTTTCACAAACGTTTCGAGACTAGGTTTGTCTCATCATCAGTGTGTTATAATTAAAAAATTTTTTTAAAATATGGAAATCTAAATTAGCATGTTGTGTTTTTCATTACAAGTCGTTCACTGCACTCTGTTCTTTTAATACCACTGTCTTCGGTATTCGTATTCTCTCCTACTTGAAAACCACTTGAAGTTGTAAAGTCACTCAATCAGATAGGAAAAAAAGGATTAGGGTCCCAGTTGAAAAATAGATGTCGTTAGGAGAAAAAATATTCTATGATGAGATGGTTTGTTTATAAGATTTGTTATACATTGTTATAATTAAAAGTGTATGTACATCTATATATAAGCTACAAAGTATGAATGAGATTCAGGTATGTATCATGTAATATATTGGTATCTGTCCGTAAATTTACTGTGTTACTTGTATGGGCTATTAACATCGATTCTGCAATACTTCTTTTAAATAAATCTTGTTCATAATATAAAATAATAAATTAGTGCAAAAAGAGTGTTGTTTGTTCATATTTCCAAATTAATATATATATATATATATATATATATACATATATATTACGATTATTACCTGAATAATTTACCCCTTTATCCCAGATTTGGATGCCCGTCCCTGGGACTTTCAAGGCGAAGAGTGCACCCTTCGAGCCTGTGTCGACAGATTCAATAATAGGAGGTACCTAGGCACCCCTGTTGATGTCGAAATGGAACCTGTCGATAATTGCATCAACAGTGTCCTGGGCAATTCTCAAAATGAAGAATTTGTCCAATTGCCCGATGAATTCAAACAGCACTACGAATTGTGGCTGCAGCAGGAGGTCTTCAATAACGACATCAATTGGGACACTCTTCTGGTTTCTGCAGAAATATAAATAATAAAGGATGATAAAAGATGATAAAGGATAATAAAGGATAATAAAGGATGATAAAGGTAATAAAGGATAATAAAGGATGATAAAGGATTTATTTAAAAGAAAAGAGTTGAATGAATAAAGAAGGTATTTATCGAGGAGATAAATGATTTAAAATTTAATAGAGAAAGTATTCATTAAGGAGTCCTGCATGTTTGTAAATGGTATAAATTTTATATTGATTATTTTTTTTAAGTTTAAAGGCTTCTTTATGATATTTAGAAAACTTTTGTAATAAGGTTATAACAGAGTTAATTTTTATATTAAATTCAATTTGAGTTACAGGATTTTATTCAGTTTTGTGAGTATTTATTTTGATTAAATTTAATCAAGGTAAATGGACAAATATCACTAGTATCTTTTAGTTTTATATATCCTATTCTATCCATCTTTTTCCTATTTACAACTAATTTATTCATTTTTCTTTTTTTTTATGAAATTCTAGTAAATCTCTTTTTCAATTTTAATCCTGCCCTTTTTTCTTACTTTTAATTTTATTTAAATTTAAATTCTATTTAATTTCAAATTACCTATATTTAAGTTTCTGCTTATATTTCTAATTACCGTGTTACAAATGTTTGAACTTTTGTAATTAAAAATGTTTAATAGGTTTAATACAGAGATTTAATTTTTATATTAAATTCAATTTAAATTACAGGATTTTATTCAGTTTTGTGAGTGTTTATTTTGATTAAATTTAATCAAGGTAAATGGACAAATATCAATACTATCTTTTAGTTTTATATATCCTATTCTATTCATTTTTTTCCTATTTACAACTGATTTCTTCATTTTTTCTTTTTTTTGTAATTAAAAATGTTTTAGTTTTGATACAGAGATTTAATTTTTATATTAAATTCAATTTAAGTTACAGGATTTTATTCAGTTTTGCAAGTATTTATTTTGATTAAATTTAATCAAAGTAAATGGACAAATATCAATACTATGTTTTATTTGTATATATGCTATTTTATCCATTTTTTTCCTATTTACAACTGAATTCTTCATTTTTCTTTTTTTCTATGTAATTCTAGTAAATCTCTTTTTTAATTCTAATCCTGCCTTTTTTCTTACTTTTAATTTTATTTAAATTCAAATTCTATTTAATTTCAAATTACCTATATTTAAGCTTCTGCTTATATTTCCAATTATTGTGTTATTACAAATGTTTGAACTTTTTAATTAAAAATGTTTAATAGGTTTAATACAGAGATTTGATTTTTATATTTAATTCAATTTAAGTTACAGGATTTTATTCAGTTTTGTGAGTATTTATTTTGATTAAATTTAATCAAAGTAAATGGACAAATATCACTAGTATCTTTTAGTTTTATATATCCTATTCTATTCATTTTTTTTCCTATTTACAACTGATTTCTTCATTTTTTTTTTATGAAACTCTAGTATATCTCTTTTCAATTCTAATCCTGCCTTTCTTCTTACTTTTAATTTTATTTAAATTCAAATTCTATTTAATTTCAAATTACCTATATTTAAGTTTCTGCTTATATTTCTAATTACTGTGTTACAAATGTTTGAACTTTTGTAATTAAAAATGTTTAATGGTTTTGATACAGAGATTTGATTTTTATATTATAAATTCAATTTAAGTTACAGGATTTTATTCAGTTTTGCAAGTATTTATTTTGATTAAATTTAATCAAAGTAAATGGACAAATATCAATACTATCTTTTAGTTTTATATATTCTATTCTATCCATTTTTTTTCTATTTACAACTGATTTCTTAATTTTTCTTTTTTTTATGAAATTCTAGTATATCTATTTTAAATTCTAGTTATGCCTTTCTTCTTACTTTTAATTTTCCTCCTCCTATATATATATATTATAATTCTAAATGCTATTTAATTTTAACTCAACGTTTATCAATAATAAAATTTACAATATTTATAAATCTTTGGTACTCTTTTGTGTGAATATTGAAAACAATTTTGAGTTACTTTAATAATAATTGATATAAAAGGAGTTTTAATAAATGATGTACAAGATTTGAGAAGTTTAGGGCCATTTATCCGATTAAATAGAAATGTTATGATTGGTAGTAAAAACTGTTTACTAGAACCTAAAAAACATGTACTATTGATGTATGTACATGCGTTTTATTTATTGTATCTCTTGTAACTTTTAAACGGTTTGTCTAATATTAATGGATTCTTTGGCAAATTTGTACAAAATTAAATAATATTTAATATTGTTTAACATCACAAAGTCCTGCAATAACTTGGTATACTCATAAATCCCATTAGAAATTTTACTGCAAAACTAAAAGCAATTTTTTCAAAGTGCTCCTTTTTCAGTTTTGTGAATGTAACTATTATGTATAAAAATAGGTAATGTTTTATTATATATATATATATATATATATATATTATTAATATATTATTTATATTAATTATAAACATGTGCACGCAGCTGAATTCGAATAATAAATTGTCAAATATAAGTATTTAGCGAACAAAAAAAATAAAATAAATTATATATATCCGAGTTTGTAAGTTTATGTTATAAATTAACCAATGTATTGAAATATTTCTTTGATAAATATATTTAAATGAGAATAAAACCTCAAATATTTATTTTTATGAAGAAGAATCTAATAAATAATTATATTATAAGTTTTAATTGCAAAAAAAATTATAAAAATGATTAGATATACAAATTTGAATTTTTTAACAAAAACTTAATTCTAATTCTGCTTTGAAAAGTTAATAAGTTAATTAAATAAACTAGTATTTATAAATTTTACAAACAAATATAAAATAAAATAAATTATATATATCCGAGTTTGTAAGTTTATGTTATAAATTAACCAATGTATTAAAATATTTTTTTATTAAATATATTTAAACGAGATAAAAACGTCAAATATTTATTTTTATAAAAAAAATCTAATAAATAATTGTATTATAATAAGTCTTAATTGCAAAAAAATCATTAAAATGATTTGTTATACAAATTTGATTTTTTTGACGAAAACTTAATTTCAATTCGGCTTTGAAAAGGTAATAAGTTAATTAAATAAACTAGTCTTTATACATTTTACAAAAAATGTTTAGTTTCGTATTCAAAAAAACAATTTATATAAAATGCCGTATGCTCTCGGACTAACAGTCTTTTTTTGTCTTACCATCTTCGACTAATGCTCCAAATTTAAACAACCTGAACTTAATCACAAGTCTCCGCATACTAATTACATAATAAATGGCGCCAAATTCAAAACACCTAATTGTCACATTTCAAAACAGCACACACCAACAAGCCAAATCATCAAAAACCTACAAAAGGTCATTAATAATTGACCCTCGAGTCACAAACGTTGTGTTCAACCCAAAATTACCCGAATTTTTATCTCAAACTTCATCCTTTTGTTGACCTTCACCTAGCAAACATTGACAGCACATAAATTAACAAAAAGGGTTGTGATTAAAAATGGCTCAAAGGACATTAAAATGCAAAATAGGACCGTCGATTTTAAATGCAGATCTGTCACAATTGCATAGGGAATCTCAATTGTTGTTGGACTGTGGGGCGGATTACCTGCATTTAGATGTTATGGATGGGCACTTTGTACCTAACCTAACATTTGGACACCCAGTTGTGAAATGTTTGAGGAATAAAATAAGGGATGCTTTTTTTGAGACTCATATGATGGTACAGGACCCACTAAAGGTAGTAATAGACTCAGACAATAGTAGTTGACAGTTTAGATCATTATATTTTAGGAGTCTTTTGTGTGTGACATTTGTTTCCACACTTGAATTACACTTTGTCAACTGATATTTTCCCAATATATTAACACATATACTGTTTGTAATCCATTTTTGCTTTTATTAGATCTATATAATTATATTTTTAGTGGATAGAACCCATGGCAGATTGTGGAGTAAACCAATACACATTCCACGTAGAACCAGTGCATGACATTTCATACACATGCAGAAAAATTCGAGAAAGCGGTATGAAGGTACTAAATTCAACTCCTACAACTCCTTTATCACACAATAAATATCTATTATTATTATTATATATATATATATATATATATATATATATCATTAAAAATGTATTTCTTTTATCTCAGGTCGGTTTAGCCTTAAAACCAGCCACGCCGGTTGAAGTCATCGCAAAATACATTCCCTTATCAGACATGGTTCTTATAATGACAGTTGAACCAGGATTTGGTGGCCAAAAATTCATGAATGATATGATGTCAAAAGTTCAGTGGCTGAGGGAGCATTACCCCAATTTAGATATAGAAGTCGATGGTGGTGTAGGATTGTCTACTATTAGTGCTTGTGCAGAGGTAAGAGATAATAATATAACTCTCATTCTTGAATACAAATTTTTATGTATATTTTATCTATTACAGGCTGGTGCGAATATGATTGTGTCAGGGACTGCAATAACAGGTGCATTAGATAAAAGACAAACGATTGCCACACTTAGAGAAACTGTGGAAAGCTCCATCCATAAATGTAATGTTTAATGTTTAATTTTAAAACTAAAATACTAAATGAACTAAATGAATTTATGATGTCTCTCTTAGATAGATAAAAGTAGAAATATGTTACAATCAATATATCGTAAGAGATTAATATTCCATGTTATGCATTATGGTGCCAAAATAATTATTTTAATAAGGGATATATAATTATAATACATTATATATATATATATATATATATATATATATATATAATGTATATATTTCATAGATCTCTTCAATTTAAGTCCTTGTTAAAAATGGTCTTATTTTAATTGCCTAATTACAATTAATGGCCTAAAATATTCCATTCTGTTTATGACTTTTTTTAAACCTTGTTTTCATTTTTATAAAGAAATATATTTTTGTAAAACACTTTTCGTATTTGTTTCCTAGTGAAAATAACTTTAAAAAAAGTAGACAGGTCAACCGTTAAGTTGCATTCTAAAAGTACTTAAGACTATAACAAGCGTAAAGGCACTATTAAAAGTTTTCTTCATTGTTAATAATGATAGTAATAATAATAATTATATATAAGTAGTATTTTGCCTTGAGGGGAGTTGTTGTAAGGTGTCTGAGATTGTTCTAACAATAAGTGTCTGTGAGAGTTGCAGAATGTCTGAGAGTATTGTCGAGTGTCTGAGAGTGTTGAAGTGTGTCTAAACATATTGTAGAGTGTGTGAGAGTGTTGTAGGGTGTCTGAAAGTGTTCTAGAGTGTGCGAGAGTGTTTGTAGAGTGTCTGAAGAAGTAATAAATTGTCTGGGAGTGTTTGTAGAGCGTCCAAAACAGTTGTAAAGTGCCTGAGAGTGTTGTAGAGTAGGAAATGCAATGCCGATGGAAAATTTCAATACCGGTATTTCGCTAATTTTTCATTTTAAAACCGGAACACCGGTAAATTACCAGTATTTTTATTATCTTAAACAAACGTAAACAAAATTGAAAGTTACTAGTACAAATATAAAAAAAATGTATATACAATTACAACTATATTCAACTAAACAATAAAATAAAACAATTAATTTATTTTTTTAAATAATAATTTAACAAAATTATATCCAATTTAATTAATTCATTATCACTATCGAGTATATAGAGTAATTTTCACCAAAAACAAACTTATGAGTAAGAAAGACCAAACACTCATGAAATATCATATTACATTATTATAATAAACTGTATTGTCTGTATCCGATGTGTTAAATTAGCATAATCTCCAATATTTAAAAAAAATAATTTTCTACACTAATTCAAGATCGGATACTTTGTCAAGATGAATAATAAGTTACTATAATTGTTGAGTATTATTATTTATAACATTGTGAAGCTTCTATAGTATTTTCAAACTTCGAAACGTTTTCGAAAAATAATATTTTATAAATGTAATAAGAAGCAAAAATATTTAGTAATTATCATAATTATTATGTATAAAGTTAGAAAAAAATAAAGATTACACAGAGGTAATCTGTATGCTATAAAATATTTTGGCGCAAATATCACTTAAAAAACTGTTACATTTTTACATAAGATGAAACAATAAAGATCATTATCTATCAGTCCAATTCTATTTGTTGTAACACGATATGAAGCCCTTTGGAAAGCAATAAATATTCAATTTAACGACGAGTTTAGATAATATTTGACATTTGTTTATCCTATAAAATCACTTGAAGATATAGCTGTTTATGGGATTATGAAATTTAAAGATAAATTTATTCCGAGAAATTTAAACTTTAGTGTATTATGTATCAAATAGCGCTTATGTAAAAATACCGAAAATACCGGTATTTTTGGGGTAAATACCGGTAAAAATACCGCCGAAAAATCGGGCGGTTTACCGGTAATTCGGTATACCGGTATTGCATTCCCTAGTTTAGAGTGTTCAAGAATGTTGTAGAGTGTTGCAGAGTATCTGAAAGTATTGTTAAAGTACCTGAACGTATTTTAAATTGATTGAAAGTGTTTAAATTGCCTAAAAATATTTTAAATTGATCGAAAGTGTTTAAATTGCCTAAAAATATTTTAAATCACTTGAAAATGTTGCATTTTGCTTATATATGTTGATATATACTCTGAAAGTGTTGTAGATTATCTAAAAGTGTTGCAACTTGACTAAAAGTGTTGCATTTTGTTTGAACATGTTGCGTGTTTTTTTTTAAATATTGCATATTGCTTGAAAATGTTGTATAATCCGTGAAAATATCACTTGAGAATGTTGCATTTTGCTTAAATATGTTCAAAATGCTGTATATTCTCCGAAAGTGTTGAGACTTGACTAAAAGTGTTGCATTTTGTTTGAACATGTTGCATGTTTATCAAAAACGTTGCATATTGCTTGAAAATGTTATTTAATGTTTGAAAATATCGCTTGAAAATGTTGCAATTTGCTTAAAAATATTGCTTTTTGCTTGAAGATGCTGCATGTTCTCTGAAAGTGTTGCAATTTGTCTGAAAATGTTGCAACTTGACTAAAAGTGTTGCATTTCGTTTGAACATGTTGCGTATTTTATAAAAATTTTGCATATTGCTTGAAAATGTTGTATAATGCTTGAAATTATCGCTTGAAAATGTTGCAATTTGCTTAGAAATATTGCATTATGCTTGAAAATGCTGTATGTTCTCCGAAACTTTTGCAGCTCGTCTGAAAATTATTTTGCAACTTGTCTGAAAATGTTGCAACTCGTCTGAAATTGTTGCTACTTGTCTGAAATTGTTGCAACTTGTCTAAAATTGTTGCAACTCGTCCAAAATTGTTTTGCAACTCGTCTGAAATTGTTGCAACTCGTCTGAAAATGTTTCAACTTGTCTGAAAATGTTGCCACTCGTCTAAAATTGTTGCAACTCGCCCAAAATTGTTGCAGCTCGTCTGAAAATTTTGCAACATATCTGAAAATGGTATGATTTGTCTAAAAATATTGTAGATTTTTTAAAACTGTAGTAGACACCTGAAAAACATATTTAATCTATATTTTCAAGTGACAATGGAACAAACGCACGAGACAGTGCGCTCAACCGTCACGTCATGAACAATAATATTAAAACGCTCTCTTACTATTCATCTAATCAAATTTACTCATATCAATATCCTTTACAACTTGTTTAACACCTGTATCGGTGCTCTGTGCAATGTCTGCATTCTGGACAAATTCCTTACATTTGTGTTTGGGTTTCATTTTATCCTGAAGGACTGCTAAACTGATCAAGATAGCTTCTTCAGTACGAATCGTCCTCGAACCCTGATTAGGGATCGTGTTTAAATATTCGTCGAACAACAAACTTGGGTCGTCAGCTGTGAGATTGTCATCGCTTTCTAGAGCTGTTTCTAAACCCAGGAGGCCCCCGAAGACTATAATAGCATGATCGTAAGATAGAGATTCTTTTTGTTTTTCTAGAATAGAGTCGCCTTTGTCGGATGTTCCTATCAGTAAATCGTACCTAGAAATATATAGTAAGATTGCTGAATTTGTTGTAGGTTGTCTGAATTTGTTTCACCATTTATCTATTATCATCTTACCCCTTCTTGTAAGGTGACTGTGTGAAGACTTCGCTTAAACTATTCGCGATCCTAACAGTATACCCCAATACACTCCTGTCTCAGCCCTAGGTCTGCTGGGGGACACAATGAGGCCCTTCATTTTTTTCTCGTTTTCGGTATTACACGAATTTAATTTCACAGTAACTCTTAGACCGGCTGTAAGAGTTTTATCGACAGTGACATCATTGAGAAGTCCCACATTGACGATGGAGCCTTTTCCAACTTTTGTGGGCTTGTTTGTTACTACACCCTCCCTGAGGTAAATGACACAATGAAAAAAGGATTAGGTAGTAATAAAAAAGGCTTAACCGATCGACGACTTTCAAATATAGTTATAATAAACATTTTTAATGAATTTGTAGTAAACGAGCTTATGGGGCACAACTAGTGTAACCGCCTAAAAAAAAGGTGATTTTTGGGAATTTATATTAGAAAAACTACTTTATCAATCATTTCAAAATTTTAGAAATATATTTATACATGCTTTAAGAATACTTAGTAAAATTTTTGAAGAAAAAAATTAAATATTTTTTAAGTTATCGTCGATCTCCAACGGCGCGACAAAAAAAACGCCCTTCACTGCTGCAGTGATTCCGGCCTTCTACGTGGATGAAATTAAAAAAAAAAAATCTCGTTAAACTAGATAATATTGTCTGTGAAATGAACTACGATAAAGAAAAAAAAATCAAAAATTGACAAAATGATGGCGTTTTTGAAAAAAAAAAATCGAATTTTACCCAAAATTTTGGTCGTTTTTCGACTGCCAAAATTCGATTTTTGATCCGATCAAAAAATTGATAGTTCATTTTACGAAGAACTATATATAGAACATGTAAAAAAAATTGAAAGTGATTCGGATCATTTGTTTTTGAGTAATCGCTGCAGCAAATTCGGAAAATGCTGTTTCGAGAAAAACGCGTTTAAAGATTAAATGATCGTTATACTATATACTGCAAATATACTCTTTAAATGAATGTGACTCAAAAACTATTTAAGATATCGATTTAAAATTTTGGTATATTAGTTTTAAAGGTATAACCTACCGAAATATGGAAAAATTGAAAATTCGATTTTTTGAAAATTTTACACTAGTTGTACCCCTTAAAGAAGTTTTACTTAAAAATTTTGGTTGTATCTGTTATGGCATGTGGGGTATCGTTTGAAAGGTCTTGAGTTCTAAACTCAATATTGAATTAAAATCTATCTTTTTTCATATATATCACATATGATTTTAAATTTTGCCGCCGTTAAATTCGAAGTTGAAGTTGTTTTTGGTATTGCCCAATCAGAACGAAGTAGTAGAACTGTCAAATTGTCATGTGCGTAAACAAAGCAAGTTTAAATATTAAATAACAACGAAAAGGTTAGTGTTAGTATTATAACATATTAATAATTATCAAAATATATTTATTACACGTTCTTAACACATAAATTACAAGTCTTCTCCACTTTTAGACAGACATAGTTAGATAGCAATTACCATAACCTACAAAAGTTAAAAATGTCTGAAGAAATAAATTCAAACACAACAATTAAGATTGAACCGATCGAATATCCTCAGATGAAACAAGAATTAGATGATTATGAAAATATTAAAGGTATTTTTATGGAGAGTGATGAAATTTGTCTACAGCAATTTCTAAAATCAGAGGTTACGGTTGAGGAGGATATAAAGCAAGAAACGATTGATGAGCAAGATTTTAAACAAAGGAAACAAGAGGTTGATGATTATGAATGCACATCGAATATGAGTATGGAGATTGATGAAATATGCCTACAGCAATTTCTAAAATCTGAAGTTATGATTGATGAGGAAATTAAACAAGAAAAGATTGATGGGCAATATGCCGTGGCTAATACAAGTTTAGATAAAAAATCTTACATATTTAATGAAGACATCAGTATTTCTAACATTTCATCTGAAAGCGTTTCTGAAAAATGTACAACAAACAATAACCTAAAACCCTATAGTTGTGAAATATGCCATAAAACATTTGCACAAAAAGAATCAATAAAACGACATCAAATTATTCACACTGGAGAACGTCCTTATGAATGTGAAATATGCAGTAAAACATTCAAAACAAACTCACATTTAAACGAGCACAAAACGCTTCATACTGGAGAGCGTCCCTATGAGTGTGAAATATGCAATAAAACATTTACAGCAAAGAGATTTCTAAATGAACATAAAAAGATTCACGCTGGACAACTTCATGAGTGTAAAATGTGCAATAAAAGTTTTGCAATAAAAAATTCATTAATAAGACATACCAAAAGGGTGCATGCTGGATTGCCTCCAAACTGTTGCAAAATTTGCAATACAGCATTTGCAACAATAGGTACATTAAGACAACATGAAAAAGGGATACATGATGGAGTATGCCCTGCAAGAATGCAATCAACAAAAATTTTGATTATTCCAAGCTTTACGCCTACTCAAAATATATTGTGAGGGTATTAATTGTAATTTATAAATTATATATTTCAGTAAAAATTCTGTTATTCATAAAAGACTATTGAATTTTTTATTTGAGAGAAACCTTATGAATGTGAAATATGCAATAAAAATTTCACAACAAAGGAAAACTTAAGCAGACATAAGAGTGGGAACTGAAGAACGAGACTATTGTATGTAATTTATTAATATACACATATAAATAAAGTTGGAGCATGTTTTTTGTACAATATATTGTGCAGCTAGTTTACATTAATATAATAAAGTTCAAATTTTGCATAAGATTCGATCATAATCCATTTTTCCATATAACTATATGACATATGATTTTAAATTTGCCGCCGTTAACCACGTGGTTTAAATAATTTGGTGTTGTTGCCCAATCAGAACTAAGAAGAAATGTCAAAGTGTTAAATAAAGTAAAGGAAAATATAAAATAATAACGAAAAAGTCAGTGTTAGTATTATAACATGATGATAAATATCATAATATATTTATTACACGTTCACAAACACATAAATTACAAGTCTTATCGGCTTTTAGGCAACATCGTTAGATAGCATTTACCATAACCTATAAAAGTTGAAAATGTCTGAAGAAAACAAATCAAACACAACAATTAAAGTTGAACCGAACGAATATCCTCAAATTAAACAAGAACTTAAAGATTATGAAAATACAACAGGCATTTGTATGGAAATGATGAAATTTGTCTACAGCAATTTTTAAAATCTGAGGTTACGGTGAGGAAGATATGAAGCAAGAAATCATTGATGAACAAGATTTTAAACAAGATCCTCAAGTGAAAGAAGAGTTTGATGATTATGAATATACATCGATATGAGTATGGAGAATGATAAAATATGCCTACTGCAATTTCTAAAATCTGAACTTACGATTGATGAGGAAATGAATGAAAGAAAGCAAGAAAACATTGATGGGCAAAATGCGTTGCGACAACTACAAGTTTAGATGAAAAATCTTACATATATAATGAAAACGTCAGTAATTCAAGTAATATGTGAGCAAACCATTCAAAAAATGGTAGTCTAAAACCCTATAGTTGTGAAATATGCCATAAA